CCGCAGGACGAGGCGTTGGCTCTTGGCTGTGTTTTATTCAATAATTTTAAACATGAGTTCAGTCAACAGTTACATGTTTTATCTATGAATTACAATCTTGTTTCAAATTTGTAAAATCATTGGCCTTTGAACTACTTCAACCTCATCTAAGGCAAAGACTGGATCCAAATATTTCTCGAGACCTAAGAAAGGAAATAGAAATCTTTTTGGGATTAAGTTCCGCTCATTCCATCGAGAAAATGGGTGACAATGTACCCGATGAAAATATTCCTGAAAAAATTGTGTAGTATTAGTACGTCGTCAAAAATGAGAAAAACAAATTATGGATGTGTTCACTGTGTCCGGAGTGCAGTAGGAAAGTTTGCTTCACCTGCATTCAAAATCAATAAATAATGTTTTTTATTCCCTAGTAACATTAATTATGTATGTGAATTTGGTTGCTATTTACTCAAAATAAAATTTTTACGTTGTTAAATTCAGTTTTTAATTGTGATGGTCTAATGGACCACATATTTCGTATTGCTGTTAAAAATCTCATGTTAAGGGTTAAAAAGCCTCCAATAAAAAAAATTGTATGGCCGAGCGTTTTTTACTTTTGCTTTAAATAACGAAGGGCTAAGACTTAATATTCGCACTATATGTTTATGTTTAAGAAGGCCTGAATCACAGCCTAGTAAGTATAGATAAATCAACATTTTAAAACATATCTAAAAAATATTACTAGAAATCTAAGAAGGAGATATTATAATCTTCGACGAGACAAGATTTTTATTTGTCTCATAACTACAAATATTTACAAAAATTTTGAATTTATGTAAATCGTAAATCGCAAATCTAATTCCGAAAACTCAAAGAAATATCTTAAATAAGTGGCTGAATAATTTAAAAATTCAGAAACAAATTTCAAAAATCGCTCTACGAACCCCAAAGGTGAAAACAAATAATTGGATATTTATATATGTATGGACGTATTTGAAGATTTGAGAACGAGCTTGAATGCCGTCTGGCCCGAACTAGCACATCAATATCGTGATGGGCTAAAAGGAAGGGCACTTGTTATAGATTACAAGGATGTCCGAGTTCGATTCCCGGCTATGGGAAGCTTTTTTTAAATCTTCAAGTATTTGTTTTCAACTTTGGGGTTCGGGAATGGTCTTAATAATTCATAACGGGATTTTTGAGATTTGTTTTCGAATTTTCAAATTTTTCAGAAATATTTACTCGTTAGTAAACATTCATGAATTTAATAGTTTTGTAATAATCCGTATTAATTTTCCAGATAGGTATACTGGTAAGGTAATTTCAAAAATTAAAGCCTAAAAATTAAGCTATTATATTCTAACTTGTTTGTATAAAGGAAAACATAGAGTAGGTACCTATCTTATCGGAAATTATATTTCCAAACCTTCCTTTGTTGTATTTTCGCTAGTGTAAGCAAATTAAATACCTATATCAAAGTTTTATCTTTTTTATTTACTTAACACTCATTATTGTGAAATGTCGGTGATAATAATGAACTATTATTACTTTCAATGAATAGGTACAACCCCCTTTTTTTAAAATTCATCGATCTTTTAGGAAACAAAATGTTCTTTTACCTTACTATAAATAATGATTCAGACCATTGTCAATGTTAATTATTGAACGTTTACAAAAATGTTGATAAGAAAAATCTATTTTCACTCTCTCCTCTCCACTATACGTCGTGAAAAAAGAGCCTGTTTTTGACAACCTGTTTAATTCCCATAAATCCAAGGATTTATGGAAGGGTCTAAATAAACCTCAGTCCAGAAAGCAAGAAATAACAAATAACCCTACCTATTTCGCTGCAGAAACCCGAAGAAATAAATAAGTACTTTTGTTCTGTTTTTGTTGATAATGAAGTAGATGATGTCTATTAGAATATTATAATAATTCAATACTACCTAATTTGTATGGAAACAAATTAGCATTTGATTTTATAACTGTCAGAGAATTTAATAAACTACTCCATAATATTAAATCTAATGCCATGGTTTCTGATGCTGTGTCAATCTCCATGCTGAAGTACTGTAGTCCGCATATTGATAATTACATTACGTTTCTAAACTGTTGTTTTCAAAGAAACTACTATCCAACATCTTGGAAAATTGCAACATTAGACCACTTTGTAAATTTGCACAACCTCAACATTTTTCTGATTTAAGGCCTTTTAGTATTCTGACTGCGATGTCCAAAATTCTTGAAAAGGCTATCTATTATAGAATTTCCCTTTATATTAATGAAAACAAAATACTTCCGGATTACCAGGCTGGTTTCCGAAGTGGCTACAATACATCTGTTAACACTTTGTCAAGTTACTGATGATATTGTAAGAAATATGGACAGAAGACAAATTACAGGACTTTTTGCTTTGAACTATTCCAAAGCATTTGATACTATCAATCATAATCTACTTTGTTTCAAACTAAAATATTTTGGTTTTTCTGAAAATTCTATTCATCTCATTCATTCATTCATTCATATTTGTCTAACCGTAGTCAAAAAGTTCTTTTAAATAATGAATTTTCTTCAATACAAAACGTAAAGTCTGGTGTGCCGCAGGGCTCAAGATTAGAACCAATGCTTTTTATTTTATATACCAGTGATATCTTGACATCTGTTCGAAACTGTAAAATATGCCGATGACACCCAGTTTTATTACAACATTGATAGTAATAATTATCAAGTTGCTGAACAAGCCTTAAATGAAGAGCTTGATCTTATTCATAAATTTTCAATTAAACATAATGTTAAACTCATTAAAAATAAATGTCATCTAATCCTATTTGGAAACAAAAAACAACGGAATTACTTTAGTCAAAGTCTTTCCATAAAAATTGATAAACTAACTTTACCTATAGCGGATTCCATAAAGAATCTAGGCATTCTGTTTGACTCTGAACCCAATTTCCACTCGCATGTAAACAACCTTTTAAAAAAATTATTTTCGACTTTAAAAAAGTTATATTCATAAGGCACAGTCTGTCTTGGAAGGTGAAAAGAATGTTATCAGAGTTAGTTTTGTCTATTTTCTCATATGGTGATGTCGTCTATGGAAATTTGATTGATTCTTATACACAAAACCGCATACAAAAAGTACAAAATTATTGTGCTAGATTTATTCAAGGACTTCGAAAATATGATCGAGTATCTCATAAAATTTATGAACTTAAATGGTTAAAAATGAAAAATAAACGTCAATTTTATTAATTTCTTGTATAATGTCATAAAAGGAAATAAACCAAAAACTATTTTGGATAAGTTAGTTGTGAGATCAGCACTGCATCCTCTAAATATCCGCTCTAGAAATCTTTTTCACATTCCTCATCAAAATTCAGTCATGTTTCAGAAATCATTTGCCTACCAATCTGTTAAAATTGATAATGAATACTTAATGAAGCAAATACATCATCCACAACATATTTTCCAAAAAATAATAAAGAATAATCTCTCACAGCAATTTTTAATTCTTTAAACTTTACTTTTCAACTATTTTTAAATTAATACATTGTATTATATTTTATGTTTCTACTATTTTTTTTTATTTTTTTTTTTTTTTTTTTTTTTTTTCATATCTAGTTTTATATTTCGAACTTTTTTATTATTATTATTATTTTGAATTTTAATTAATGATAAAATCAGTTAAAATCTCATTTTCTTTATTATTTTAATAAAAGCATTATACAATTTATTAATAAAGACGATTTATTATTATTTATTTAATTTTTTATATACATTTCAGATTTCATTGTTATCCATATACCTATAGGTACCTGCTTTATCCCAATAGTCCACAAAATATAGAAAATCTTGTCTTAACTTATTGATTTATTTGTTTTCAGTTTTTTTTTTTTTTTAATTATACCTAGTTATCTATATTTTTTACTTTTTGGCCATCTCTATACCTACCTATATGTATATTTAAATTAATATAATCAAAATATTTGACGCCATAGAAACCAGTTAATAATTGCGGAATTTGTAGTTAAATCATTTTAGTCAAACGTTTTATAAATTTTAAATGGGTCAGATTCAATTATACCACAGAAACCGAAAATTAGTCATTTAATATTTTTTTAACGCACAATAGGTATATTACCTAAATATACCAATAAGTGAAAATGACTGGCAACGCTGTACGAAAAGCTAACATGAAGTGCGCGCATCGCCTTTTATCTCTATTCCCGTCACGTACACATATATTATGTTCTCTCTCAATAATACTCCGCAATATTACATCATTGATCGCGAGCGCCTGGTTCAAATGATATTTATTTAAAGACAAAGAAACGTTATTTTAAATACACACAACAGGTATATCGTTCTCTAATGCATTTGTTTTTATTTATTATCTTGAAGCGTAGCCTGCTTGAATTCAACGGCGACCTTGCTTTTTGTAGCATCAAAACCACTATTTCCTGATTAGTGTCAAAATCAGCTGATTCAATTTTAAAATAAATTCGTATCCAAGCGCTTTGTTGTTGCTAACGTTTGCTAATAAATGATTGTATATTTATAAATACCTTTCGATTGAAGTGTTTTGTTTTTTTGGTGGGAACAACAGCTAAAGGGGTTGAAAATCACAGATATCACGAGTACTCGACAGATACACTAGCATTCAGCCCAAAGCAGGCGCTGAATAAGCTAGAGCTGGTATAGTTAAAAGGGCACTCGACCCAGCTGTGTTTGGTTTCGCGCGCGGAACGGAAAGGTCGGACTAGTCCTGTCTTTTTTCTACTTGTGCCGAAACCTATTATGCTTTATTTGTCGCACGACGGCTCTTGCGCTTCTAAATGTAGTCTAAAACAAACGTTTTTGTGTACTTATTTGTTTCTTAAAGTATATTTTTTATATCTAAAAATAAAAGAATGAAACTAGTTTTTGGTCAAGGATTTATACAAACACCAATTTCAAAGTTCATATTAATTTATTCTTATCTCTATCGTCAATAAATAAAGTCTAGTATTTTTTTATTACAGAATATGTGATAGTAGAAACAATGTCGAAAGCTATTAGAGAATTTCTAAACAAAAGCTACTTCTTCAATAGGATGAAGCCTAGAAAGATAATCAAGTATACGGGGATTGGTATAGGAGTTGTTTCATTAGCTGCATCTCCTATTTTGATAGCAAATTCGTCAAAAGATGCCGCTATTATAAATAAGGCTAACGGTGTCCTAAGGTTTGCAAGGTAAGTTCCTAACTAATATCTACGGAAGTATATCTACATTTACAGTTAGTATATAATCTAAATTAAACTAATGATGGCATTAACACCATTAGGTATACAGTCAAATTAGGTATCGGTGCTAATTTGGAACATTAATTAATTAGAATTTCATTTATTACATACAACTCTTACCTATAACTTATGCAACCCAAAGTACAAATATAGGGTAACTTAGCCCGTTCTCGACCAGTTAAGGGAAAAGTGAATTTTAAATCTTTGTAAAAAATACATTATTAACTGTAAGTTAATTTTGACTTAACTTTTTGATACATGGAACATATAAGAATGTTTTTGTACCATTAGTTTGTAATTTTTTAATATATAAATTAAATATATTAAAACAATGGAAAATGTGCTATTTCGGGTGTTCTCGACCAGCCCTCACAGTTTACGACCAATTTGAAATGGGTTCTCGACCAGCTTTTTCAGTTTTCGACCCTTTGGAAGTTGATGCTCGATCATCCAAATGTATGCCTTTCTAATAATAATAAAACTTCAAATAATCTGAATGGGGATGATGCTGCTGGCCAGGTTTTTTACCCTTAAACAAATTAAGCCTAGAATCTTTATCAACTTTAGCTACAGTCTCCAACAGCATATCTTTTGTTATAGGGAAACCGCACTTGGCGATATTAATGACCCAATCTCGAATTGTTTCACCTTCTACACCTAAAAATAAAATAAAAACAAGACCTAGTCTAAAAACAGACCTACTAGGCTGGTTCCTAGATCAAAACCTTGCTATTTTACCTAATAATGGCTGAGGTCCAGGGTGTCTTAATATTTCGGGCACTCTCCCAGAGAGCCTATCAATTAGGGTAGTTTTAGGGACACTAAAAAATCTACTTGCTGCCCTTATTTTCATGTTATTATTTCGAATTTCATTTAAAGCATTTCTTAGATTGTCTTCAGAATATTGTAATAGTTTTCTTTTGATTCCTTTATGCCTTAATGATCGATTTGCTTTCTGGGTGCCGCGTGTTTTGGCCACTAGAGAGAAATAAAAATAAAGATTTTATACAGTGGTCGAGAAGTAAATGGCTGAATTCTGGTTATTCGACCACTTAATATTCAGTTGACAATAAAGATTATCTAAGTAAAAGATACTAATGGTCGAGAATTAAAAACTGTCTAATGTATTACAGTACCAGGAGATTCATTATGATTACGTACCAATTAGGCAGCTTATTGCTTGCAGGAAGTTCCTACCTTCAAAGTCAGTTCTCGACCACCCTGGTCGACAACTAAAAACTACTGTTTTTCTCATTACTGGCTGCCGACCAACAAAAATTTCACAAAAATAATAACATTTCCTAGATTTTAGAATAAATATAATCAATCAATAACAATTAAAAACTGTTTTACTTACTATTTCTTTAGTACACATTCACTATTTATTTTATAATAGAGAGTTGAAGTGTTTCCAGTACGTTAACGTAAACGTGAACGTCAACGCACAAAAATAATGTTTACGATATAGTCCAAAATATGAGTTATGTTATTTGCGTTACGTGCATACGCCAGGGGTCCAATTCCTGACGGTCTACGATAGCTTGTCGCATGCGGTACCGTATGCGCCTTGTCAAAGTGTATTCTTGACGGTCCTCAACCCCTACGTTTCACTGTCGCATGCGCCACGACACGTAGCGAAAGAATCAGTTCCGCTCACTCTGCGTCGGCACTTTTGATCTCAATGTTCCAGTTTATACACTGCGCAACTCGGATTTGTATCCCTGGCGCATACAGAATCAAATCATAACCAATCAAATATATGACAACCGCCTATATTCAAACAGCAATCATCTGCGCATCCTGAATTTGTATCCGGATATTATTTTGGAACATTCAACTGGTCCAAGTGAGCTAACTGATTCTTTAGCAATAAACTGTGACCGTAGCGTACGTACGCGATAGAGTGTTTTGCAGCCCGCAGGCTTACGTATGTACGTAGACGTGAACGTGACGGATATTTGAATGCGCATGCGTAGATGTCAATTTTCACATATACGTTTACGTTCATAGCATCACTTCAACTCTCTATTATATTATACACCACGTGTTGTTAGAAACGGTTGGGTAAAAATGATTTATTTGAGCAGTTCCTGTTATAACGTCTGAGTTTACGGCGCATGTCGGATGTTGCAGGTAATTAGGAAAACAGTGGGGGATGAAAAATAATGTATCGTTTCCTTATTGTTTACATTTGAATAGAGAAACGGTCGAGAACCAACACTGGTCGGTAAACCAGCTAAATTACCCTATTTTCTATGTATTTTAAAAATCGTATATAAAATTTTATTTTCAGTTATTTTGTTGTCTGTTTTTATTCAAATGTAAATTTGGATTGAGGTCAAATTTATCTATGAAAAAACTAGTTTATCATTAAAATTTATTCACAATACCTAACTTCGTCTTAATGTCGGATATGCAAGGCCGATTTTTTGACAAGATTTATACCTAATATTGCAAATGTTTATAAGTATTGTGGCATTGGTTCCCCCATTGTGTCCCTGTCTATGATTCTGCTGATAATACAGCGAGGTTAAAAAAGATGAGTACTAATCCAAAGCTATTCAAACAATTGTACGAGTTGTAGGTAATCAAAAATAACGAGATTTTTGTTTTCTTGAAGAATCTTGATTTATCAATCAAGTTCAATATTGTACCCTTCAATGTTATCCCCCTTAGATATAAAACACTTGTTCCAGGCTTTTTCCAGTCTTGAAAGCAGTTCTGGAACTAACTTTTTGGTATAGCATTCAGCAATTCTATTTTTATCTTGTCAATGGTGGCAAAACGTTTTCCTTTCGTGATTCTCTCCAGCATCCACGGGAATACAAACAAGTCACAGTGAACCATCTCGGGCGAATACAGTGGCTGAGAAAAACTCCTTTTATTTTTTGCCAAAAATTGTGAATAACCACTAAGGTGTGAACGATATTATCATTAATTTTCACAAGTGCTTTTGCCACAATTCTGAGCGTTTTCGATGGATTTTGGCAGAATTTATTTTATATATGACTTAGTTAGTGACATTTTTGGCGCCCAACGTGGAGCATATATGACGTTTTTAAAGTTTTCATTAAGATTATCATTTTAGGGTAAAATTTGTTGAAAAAACATTTGCATTTTGATTTATGTAATAACTGAGCAATTACAATAATTATATTATCATTTATAGATCTCTAAAAATTGGATTATGGATATCACTAGATTATTATTTTGCCATGGCAGGTCTGGACGAGTCTTCAGACAATTTTAATGTTATGATGAGCCGAATCCATCAAAGATCCGCAGAACACATTCTCGACGGTTGTCTGAGCAACGGTGGTTGCTACATTAAATTAGGACAGGGATTAGTGTCCATGAGTCACATACTGCCAAAGGAATATATAGAAACTTTAAGAGTTCTGCAGGATAAGTGTTTAAAAAGAGAGTCGGGAGAACTGGAGAAAATATTTAAGAAAGATTTCGGAAAGAATCCCGAAGAACTGTTTAAAGAATTCAACAAAGAGCCAATTGCAGCAGCGAGTATAGCACAGGTTTGATTGTTTTTTTTTATGTATATATTTTGAATTAATTTACTGTTTGAAAAATTCAGCATGGATCTGCCTTTGCCAAGTCGATCAAGATAATCGACCTGTTATATTTATAAAAGATACTTAGTTATTTTACTTCATTCTAGTTTATCATTACTGCTTTTGCAATTACCTACACCAGAAAGGAAAGCTAAGCTATAGCTGCGATGTCTAGTTTCTACTAACCACGCGCAGTTCGAGTTGTATATTGGTAACTTAGTTTTTACATCACTACGGAGCATGGACAATTCGAAACCCCGAGATTTGAATCAAAATCCGTAGCTACATTCTTCTATAATACAGGCGTACAAAAATTGGTGTCACGTTTTGGTGAAAAGATGACAAGATTTTAACATAAGTTGTGATCTGTAAAAATAAAATTAACGTAAATTTTTAACATATATTTATGTTTATAGAATGATTTGTGTGGCAGATATATTATGATTGAATGATTTATTTTGAACAAATAATTACAACCATTTTTGGCGCCCAACCTAGATCCTATTTGATGTTTGTAAAGTTTCTGTTAATAGGTTTGTTCCAACAAGTGCAAAAACCGTAATATTTCGGTACAAATCATGCGCTCTACACAAAAATTGTATACAGCACTATTTCTATGTATACAGCGCATGATTTGTACCGTAATATTATAGTTTTCGCGGGTGTTGGAATAGACCTGATATTATCATCAGAATCATTATCTAAGGCCGATTTAAGACTATATCAATGCTGGCGCAACTAGTGGAGCCACCGAATTGAAGCGCACAATAATTTATCGGCTATCGGTGTCACCACCATAAGTACCTAGTGTTTATATCAACTGCGTTTTGCATACATATGTTATGCCAAAGCAACCCACAAGCTCGTTAACAGTTTTTGGTGGGGTCACCAATTACCGCAGTCTAATAGGTTTCATTTACTTAAATGTCCCAAGACGTGTCGAATCACTGGTGGATCAACTTGGTTACGCCGGCAGTGGCCTAGTTTAATAGCGGCTCTAGGGTTGAAGGTGAAAATATCTTTTTTGGATATGAATTTAATTGTTGAAATTGAAATTGTCATGTTTAAAAGTATGTATAAAAAGGTTGGGTAGCACATAGAAGAGCGCGAAAACAAAATTGTTCAAAATTTCAATTATCTAAGTAAACCATTATTTTAATTTTGGGGTAAAAAGGCCTGGTATAAAACAATATTGAATAGACTTGCGATGATGTGGTAGTGTATGATGCAACCATTAAAGGGTTAGCAGTTTACCCAGTAAAATTTATATATTTTGAGTTGAACAGTACATTTTTGTCCATATAAGTGTCTGATGACCCATACAGCACACATTATTTCAGAAGTGTTTCAGAAATATTTTAAACGTTTCAAACACATATAACATTTCAAGTACAAGTTTCTGATATATTTTAGTTAAATATTTCACTGAAAATGTTTCTGAAACATGGTTTTCATGTTACACAAAAGGTTGCTAAACGGGTTATGTTGTAAAAGGCCAAAACTTAATGAAGAATTTCTGATTTGTAAGAAGAAGATGGGGACATGTAGTTATTTTATTTCATCCTATGTCCAGCGGGCTTTCCGATTTGGACACCGTCGTGGCAACATTGAAATGGCGGTCTCCGAATCGAGAACCCAGAAGTACAAGAAAAATCTTTAAATATCTAGTATAAAAGTGACCATCCGACTTTAAAAATATATTAAACCAATTAGAATATTCAGTGTCAAAAATGGAAATTTTAAATACCAAGAGAAATGGAAAAGTGATGGCTAAGGTCAGACGCATGTGAATGCAGCTTTTTCCATACAAAAAAACAAATAAAAAAACACAGTCCATGTAGACGGTTTGAGTCCAGATAAACCTAAATAAGAAAACAAGAAGATCCTATGTCCAACCAGAAACAACCCCTTTATTCTAAATAATTATAGATCTGAGTTGTCGGTTTTTGTTATTTTTGCGTTGTGCTGTTGTTATATGTCTTTAAAAATTGAGGTGAGTATGTATTACAGAACTAATGCTTGTTTAAGCGGAGCTTCATGTTTTGTTTAGGCATGAGTATTGTTTATTTTATTATAGTTAATTTAAAACAATATTAATAAAACTATTGTTAATCAAATAATTTGTATAAATCCTTTTTAATTACATAAAATTTGTTTCAGATTAGTGTATTTAAAGAAATTGGTGGAAATGAAGAAATTAATATCCAAGTTATTCAATGTTTCCAGAATATAGTATTAAGGAACATCGTCGATGCAACCCTAAAGTGGAGACAGTTGAAAATACAATACAAAAATTTGCCAGTAGTCCCCAACAACGACTGCTCCAACATGGAAACCTTGAGATTATCCAGCTCTTCAGCAATGCCAATCTAATAAGAAGGCTCAAGAGAACTAAGGCTTTTGAGTTAGTTCAGTGATGTTAGATTAAAGCAGAATATAGTGCTGTTAAATGTTATAAATTAACGGTAGTGTAACTAAATAATTAGACTTTAAGGTACACTAGTGAGAAGAATCTTAGTTTATGAAGTTTTTCATCCCTAGATAAGTAAAAATAAAATTGCTAATTGATTTTAATGACCAGTTTGCAATAATCGTAAATGTTTCTTGTTGTTTCAGATTAGTGCATTTAAAGGAATTTTATGAAATAGTGTTTAAAAATTAAAGTTTTAAATAAACATGTATATTTTTAACCCTTTCGCTACGGGTATAACTATTTTGGATCACAGTACCAAACGCAAAAAAATAATGAATAATTAATTTATCGCTAATTTCATCTGTTCTCGTATGGGAGCCCAAAATGAAAATAATATGTCGTTAGAGTGATTTTCCTGGGAACTGTGATGAAAATATTACAAACCTTTTCATTTTCTTGGGAAGGAGTGTAGTTACTCTGTATATTCATCAAAGAACTAGGTTGATAACAAAATTATGTTTTATGCTGAGTCAACTATGCCAATTGGAAGTATTGATAACCAAATGATGTTTTATGTTGAGCATTTTTACACAATTAGAAAGATTGAAATGAAATGTAGTTTATAAGGTTTCGTGTGGGGAAAAAAATGAAAATAAAAATATGTATCAGTTATACGTATATTTATAAGCAGACGCAATAATAAAGAAGTGTCAAATACATTTATATTCAAAAATTCTTCCTTGTGTGGTAAATTTTATAACGCTTTCCTACACAAAGTCCAACTTCATATACCGGACACCAAGTTGTTACGTATTTTCGTTTTTTGTCACGCATGTGGGTATGGGAATAAACATGACAAATTTTTTGTCCTTTGCTTCTTGTCGCAGTTGGAGGAACAGTATCCAAATAATGTATTTCCATCAAGTTTACTGCTGCAACTCGATCAATATTTTCTTGACTTCTTCTACCCGGGCGCAACGCAGTAAGTGTTCCGTGTCTTTCTAAAATTTGTTTCACGATGTTTCGAATAAAAACTTTTAGTGGTAAAGAATTGTTGCCCGTTCTAACTAAGTATAAGTTATAAGAATTGAGAATGGTCAATTCCATCAAGTGAAAGAATAGTTTCTTGTTTTCAAAAATAGCTCGAATTTTACAGAGCTTATTATTTTCTGGTAGATTCTCATTATTTGCAAAATGTATATAACGTAAGAGAGCAGCAAATCTATCACGAGCCATATATTTGCTAAAAAAGTCTGTTCGAAGCATTTTTTTTTTGGCCAATATACAGCAATTGTTGTTTTTTTTATCCGTGGCATTAGTAAAACTAAAGCAAAAAATGTATACATTTCATCGATGTTAGTGTTCACCCATCGTTTCTTTCTTGATCTTGGAGGCTCTTCGTCATTTTGTGTACAAAATTCATAGTATCTATTCGTTTCAGTTACAATTAGATTCATAATGTCTAAGTCAAAGTATTTTATAAAATAGTCATACTCTGTAGCATTATTTGCTAACAATTCCGTTACACCTGCATCTACATCACCTTAGCACGGAAATGTTACAACAATTCATTTTCCCATATTATGTGTCAGAGACTTCTGGGCTTCGAATCCCAGACCAGACAATGTGGATTTTTAATTAAATTGCATGGTTCGGTATAGGATTTGATGTGTGTCGTATTAATAGAAATTCAATTTCTGTTGATATGACATGCAGATTATAAAAAATCGCCATGGTGGGTGAGGTTTTCCGGGTTTTCCTCACCTGTAAGTCAAATGGCACCGTCAATCATCTTTAAGTCGCCCCGGAGCGCCACGGCAAATAATAATAATAGCAGTCCCTTTCCCCGCACAAGCTCAGCTTTTGGGGTTAAAATTCACTCGTAAGGAGGTGAATTAGGGAGAGTATTATTATTATTATATCCAGTTTGGTTCACCTTCTTCGCTAGATTCTTCGTCTTCAGTATCATATTCTGTTTCACTACTTCTTCGTCATTGCAAGAACCACCACTGGAAATTGTTTCCTCCTCGTCACTGCTATTATCAGAATGATATCTTTCAGATGTGCATTGTACAGATGAGTGTCAAGATGATGTGGAAGGTACATGCATTATAATTGTAATACAAGCTGTATGAAAATATTTATCAGACAACCTAACAATACTCGCTTGGCAAATGTAAAACCAAATCGAGCAACACAAACTTCAATAATTTGACAATTATTTGTCAATGCGCTAGTTCAGTGATGATGTAATTACACTGATCTATGGTTCCACTGACAATTAAAGTGACAGTAGATTTTTTGAGTGCGTTTTGTTCGTTTTGTTTACCTAAATTATATCGTATTTTTTTCACTTTTATAAATATATTCCTAAAGTATGTAGATAGCATGTATCAAATATACAATCGTTTAGTTACCAATTACATACCTTTAAACTATTTTTTATGGCCTGTAAACAATATTTTGAAATAAAATAAAAACAATAAAAACATATGTCAAATTTATTGATGTTTTTGTTAAAAGTTTGGTTAGAATTAAATGTCAGTCTAACCAAAATGACATCACACTGAACTAGCGCATTGCATTTATTTATCATAACATAAGTAGGCTTTATTTTTGTTTCTCAAACTACCTAAAGGAGACGGGCGAGCGCAATTTGCACTATAATAGTAGAGGATCATTATACAAAGGTTTCTAAAGCGAAATATGTATTATTTCTTGTTATAGATAAATGCCTGTAGGTCCTTTAACTATAAAAAGTATTTACGAGTGCTGTAATAGAATATACTATTAGAAAGTGGTCAATAATCACCTCCCAGACGTTCAAGTAATTAGGAAAATATAAAGTCTATTGATGACCATCGGAATACAATGCAACTTATGTAAGTCGCTCATTGACGACTGCCGTAGCGAAAGGGTTACATTTATTTTTTTTTAGTCTAATAATATTTAAAAAAAAACTAGAATACATTTCTGAAATATTACTATATAATATTTCTAAAATATATTTACAGGACATTTTTACGTTTCAAGCACATTTCAGAAATGTTTCTGGGATGTTTCGTAATATTTATACATTACAAATGTTTCAATGTAACATTTTTGAAATATTTCCTAATGCGTTTGTGCTGTATGGGAATGCAGTAACGTCGAGACTATTCCTTAAGGGTAATCTCTCTAGATATTATAGGTCACAGTATATATGACACCCCATGTCGCAAAGATATAATAATAACTAGACGGTGCATTCTGAAAAATGTTCACTCTCTCTTATAATAAACACGTCATGCATTTTGGCATTGCGTTTGTTTCTTAGCTTTCCTATCTGTGATAAGTAATATGTGCTACTTCTATAGGTTTGTTCCAATACAATTAGGCATTCCAACGACCTGTCCAAATGGCTACCAGTGGGTAATGACAGTTTAGATATGGCAACCCTGTTGTTATGTTGTCATTAACAGGGTCAATGATACATATATAGTTATATAGATTGCTCAAAGCTGGTCGTTTACGAGCGGCCATATTGCCTGGCAAATATTTATTAATTTGAATCGGTTTAGCAAAAATGTGTTTTAAAACCAATTTTTAGCCTTTAGATATTTAAAAAAAAAATAATTGCTTACATTTTTACTTCAAGGCATAAGCTTATGTTTATTTTGAAAAATATGGATGATCAATCTATGTAACTATCTATTTCATTGACCTTGTCAAATCGCCAGGCCTACAGGGTTGCCATAATTTTGCCATATCATAACCCGTCAGAACTCACTGGTAGCCATTCAGTTTGGAATGCCTAATAGTAAATCGGTTTACTTAATGTCAGGATTCTGCGCTTTCTAGAATTCGTGTTCCAACAAACTTCAGACTTAAAACTGTACAAAAACCGAGTGTTCCAACACACCCAAACCTAATCACAAACTAGTTTCTGTACTGTCAAAACAGTTCCTGGGTCTGAAAGGAACGATATGTCAAACATGCGCAAAATAAAAGTGAGCTCGCAAATAAACCACGATCAACTCTGAATATTTCGTCATTATATTTATTTTGATATTATCGATCGTAGTCTCGATCCAAGGATTATCTACTATTATTGATCGTAATTTGGTTTGACCACACAAAAATGGGTTCCAACGCATCCAAGTTCCGAATAAAGTCCTAATCCTCGACATGTCGACAATACGTTATTGATATATTACATTAATCATACTTATATTTTCATCGTTGCAAATTTTACATTAATTATTTTTGCTAACAGGTTTACAAGGCCACAACAAAAGAAGGCAATCATGTAGCTGTGAAAGTACAATACATAGACCTACAGCAACGTTTCGGAAATGACGTAATAACAATAAGAACTTTATTGAAAATTGCAGGAACGCTGCATCCCGATTACGATTTTTCTTGGGTCATAGACGATTTGGAAAACACCTTAAGACAAGAATTGGATTTCATAAACGAAGGGCTAAACAGCGAAAGATGTTCTAGAGATTTAAAACATTTAAGATATATTCACGTGCCGAAAGTGTATTGGGACTACACCAGTTCGGTAAAGTAATGTAACTATTTTGTAGCGTTATAAATAAATATCAATTAAATTATCTCTTGTAGAGGGTACTGGTTACAGAATTCATTAACGGATATAAAATTAGCGATTTGGATAATCTGAGGAAAGACAAATTTTCTTTGGTGGACTTGAACAAGAAATTATTCGAGGCTTTCGGTCATCAGATATTTCAATCGGGTTTCGTTCATGGCGACCCACATCCTGGAAACGGTAATATGATTTGTTAACTATTAGCAATTAGTCTAATCGTATTTGTGGTCTGAAACTCTTAGTAATCCTATTATTGTATTTGTTATGTTTGCAACTTTTGTTTATTTATTCCATGTAATTTTGAAAGGGGATACGTACATTTGTATTATCTGTTTTCTAAGAAACATTGTCTTTGTTAAAAAAATCTAGTTTATTCATTTTGATAACCGATTGTCTTAGAGTACAAAATTTCGCCTTGTATCTAATCGTACTCTTCCTCTACGAGAAACCCTTAAAATCAGAGCCTGTGGCGCTCTATGTTAGATGAAAAGAGGCGATTTTGTTTTCTATTCACAGGTTCGTTACGATGTTCCTCTTTTTGAGGTTTTACCTGATGATTCCTTAAGTCTAGAAGTTCTCTGAGTCTTGTAGAAGGTTTAAAATAATGTGCGCGACTCAACAATATTAAAGTTTTCAAAATTCATTGTTTAATTTTTTAGATTGTGTTGTACAATGTGCTTTAAAATTATCTTTGTCTTAGAACATACATTTGCACACTACGACAATCTCTTAACTTATGCCGAAGTGGGCTAGTTGAAAATAATAATGTAATACATTTAAAAAATATTTTTGAAATATAGACGATGACGCGTTTTGTTAAGTCACGCCCTGTCTAGGATCGAACCAATTAATACTACTTTATTCTTTAATTAATATATTTTTTAATCTTTTTTTTTTTTTCACTTTTTAATATTTCATTAAACATATTTATTTTTTTTTTTAATGTTTTGTGTATTCATAAACCTCACTTAATACTAAATAATCACATTTTATTTGAAAGAATTTTATATGGATTTAATACTCTACTGCACAGTAGAAGTAAATACACGCCACATTCCCAATAATTATAGCCTTAGATATGGGGAAAAATAATGAACATGTTTAGATATGGCAACCACGCTTTGTGTGAAAACAGAATTTTACTACAATGAAACTTAATGTTTTAAAAAAATATAATATTTGGAAGCACTAATCTAATCTAATGCGAAGGGTAGTGTGTAGCATTATTATTTTTAATAAGAATAAAACTACTCGAAATCGATATCACAATAGTTGGGTAGTTTTATTCTTATTAAATGTACGACCACATTTGAGAAAAATGGATAATCTTTCCCTCATTATTATTTTTATTTGAATTTGTCAAATATGATTTTTTATTATTTTAATGCTAAAAACGAAATTTGTTCAGGGCTCATGCGTACCGCTCCGCAGTAGTTTGGGAACCACTGGCCTAAGGGATCTATCGATGCGTCACCGTTAGGGTACGGTGACAGATGCGTACAAGGAACGACACAGTGTACAGGTTTTGATGGCCTTATCTGTCTAAGGGATCTATCTATCGTTGCTACAGTTGCCATTCGACATCTTTTCTGACGGAATATTCTAGAGGTGTCTGTGGAAATATGGAGAATGGAGAGCACTTACCTGTTATTCCACTCAAAGCGACGTTGGCATATCTATAGATCTTCATATTTTTTGGGTGATTTAGGGTGATGTAACGGTTTAGACACCTGATATTTATTTACTAAGGGCTTCTGCCTGCACAGAGGCGTATTCAGTTTTTATTTACGAATAAAAATATGTATGTTTTTACCATTAAGTATTCTAGCCTTAGGATGAATTAATCTTTATCAGAATCCGTTTAGATATATATTGTCCTTCCTCTTCTTCTTTTTCTATCTGCTGGTTCCCACTTCGTTATTACGTTTATTATTCCTTATTAGTATTTTCTCCAAATATGACCATATATTCTTCTTGAAAACGTATTCTCCTTCCAAGTTTTGTATCAGTTCATGGTTTTCTCTTATCAAAATTCTTCTGTTTTGACTGGTTTTAACATTATTCTCAACGCGTCCTCTCTGCTATTCTTATTTTAAACATTTAGTTTTTTGTGATTACCACCGATGAAGTAGTGATGTGAGTTAGGTAAATACTAAGTGGGTAGTTAAATAAATTTTGAGTATTTTAACTATCCAAAATCGGGTATTTAAGTATAACCTCAAATTTAAAGAACGCGATATTTATTATGGGAAGAAATAGTTGACATATCAGCAGTGTTGCCAATACCGAAGAAACGATTAGCGCAAAAATCCATCATAAAAACCGCAATTATTGATCAAAAAGCGCAACATTATTACTATCATAAAAAAGCCAAAATACCGCCTCAAATATAATTTAAAAGCACAAAATAGAGGATAATGGTTTAGATAATTCACAAGTATTCACTCTATATTTAATATGTTTTTGACATATACATTTTCTTAAAAGTGTATTTGTCTGTTTTGAGTATCAACATTCGTTATTTATAAGAGTAAAAAGGAAAAAATATAAAATGTCATTACCAGTCGCCTTTGCAGGTAAAAATCGCAAAAAAAGCGCAAAAAATAGAAGGACACAATAAAATCGCGACACATCGACAAAAAGCGCAAAAGTTGCGCTTTTTGCACCTAATTGGCAACACTGCATATCAGTCCTCTTACACTTTGTGAAGAGATCTCTGTTGCACAAATATTACTAACATACGTTGCAATTAAAATTCTTTGTCTACTCAAAAAGTTCTGCTTGCTACTACTGAACGGTCCTTTACAACTTTTAATTGGATCTTCAGCAAAAAAATCGATTGAGTAAAACAGAACGAGCTGCCAAAATTATCTACTTAACTCACAATTGGAGGCTTTATGAATAAGAGTGAGCCAAATTCGAACAGGCTTCCTGTTGTTCAAATAGTCAGTGAAACATGTGGTCTATCAAAGTACCCAGATCTCTCCGACTACGGTACTAAAATTCATCAGAAAACAAGATCGAAAATTACTCTTTCTCCAGAAAATGAAGACATCGACAGCTTCAAAGGCTCTACCGACATAAATTCATTTGAAAAATAAGATTCCGAGGAAGTTCTTGACAAGGAGTCAGATGATGATTGTCAAATACCCAACAAGACAGTCATTTAGATATTTTCGTTAACCATTTTTCAACCATACAACTTTAATAGATATCTAGAAAATTGTCCATTTTATGTAATTGTTTTTGGGTATTTTCTTGGGCATTTTCCCGTAAAAGTAAATACCTCAGTATTTTACTTAACTAGATGCAAGATGAAACAGAGGCGCACTTTATTAGTTTGTTAGGGTCATATTTATTTTTATTCCTAACAGTTTTGACAGTAGTTTGCTTTTGATAAATTTTCTATTCTTCTCTTGGCGCTATAATTTTTTCATTTACTTAATTGTTCTCTTTTCTTTATTAGGTATTTCAACTTCTACCTTTCCAATTCCGGTCCATATTTTTTCCAATTATAATGTGTTAGCTCAACAGCTAGCTCTCAAATCTGTATTTCTATGTGAAAAATAAACTTTTTTGTTATTATTCTAAAAAAAATGTTGATTTCAGTGTTGGTAAGAATGGTTAAAGGTGATGCACAACTCGTGTTATTAGACCATGGTTTGTATCAAGAAGTTTCACCAAAAGATCGAAAATCTTTGAGCTACTTGTGGAATGCCATTGTACTCAACGATCAAGAAAGCATGAAGAAATATTCCAATGAATTGGGAGTTAAAAGTAAGTGTGTTCTTTAATTATTATATGTCGAAAGGCATCGCAATTATTAGTTATTTTTATTTGTATTTAAAACCAGAAAACCAAAGTCTATATGCTTCGATTGTGATTACCTGTTAGGTCCATGTAACGCTGTAAAAAATCCTTGTACTAAGGGATTTTACAGCCATCCGATGTAGTTCAGATACTGATGTAAATTTAAATTGATGGGTCAGTGAGATTCGGTTAGAATTTAACCAACAAGTTAATAACACTATCTTTAGTTAAAAAGATTAAAAAGAAAATTAAGTTAATGCTTGTGGACGCCACGTATTTAGATGTGTCATGAACTTGCTAGTTGAAAGTAAGAAATATAATTCCCGTACTTAATAAAATTTAAAAATATATAATGGCTGTAAAATGAATCATGAGTAAACAGTTGTAGTACTTTAACAAAACAAAAAGGAAATTTAATGATAAGATAATTTAGGTAGGTAACTGACAACTAGGTATTTTTTTAAATGTTCTTGGTAAGAATGGTAGGTATCGGATAACACTTATCTTTTTTGTGTTTGAGACTGGAACAGTCCGATGGGGATGAAGACTAATACTTCCTTTGCTTTGACAAGGAATTTGGAATACAATGGAATTTATCATTTAAGTAAGCTTTACGGAATATCCCCTTTTGTTTTGCTGTGTGGAAGTTGACCGATCCATTTGTTTTGTTTTGTGAATGTGTGCTCGATGACTAAAGAGGAAACCTTAAGGGAAAAAGAGAAACAGTAAAGCCTTATTAAAGAGGTATAGTAAAGCCGTACTAAAGATGCTGTATGGTAAAGGTGTCCAAATAAGAGAATAGTTCTTATCATCAACGGCCCAGTTAAAGCTGAAACTCCTGGACCATCAAACTGAGCCAGATAAGTGTCTGCCATTAGTCTGAACATTTTTGCATAAATATATCGTGTCACGTTTTTTCTTTATTTAATTTTTTAGTCTGTTTTGCTCAATTTAATTTAATCTAACCAGTTGTTTTTTTATATTTCATAATTTTTAAATTGGAAGTTGTTTACCATTTACATTAAAATCACTATATTTTAATTTAACTCTTTTAATTTATTCCTTACTTTCAACTAGCAAATTAATAGCATAATTTGTATCTATTGACCATCTAAATACATGGCGTCCTTAAACATTAATAAAAACACTTTTTTGTCTTTTTAATTAAAGATGATACCATTGGTCTGTTAGTAAATTCTAAGCCCAAATTCACCGACCCTGTTGAGCTAGGCCGAGGGTAATTAAGTTAAGTATCACGTAGCAAATTAGCACCAACGAGCTTTTTCGTTACATAATGTGTCACAGAATACAAAATTCTTCATTTGACTGTTTGTCGTTTGTGTTGTATGTACAATTGCTTAAAATCTTTATCTCCGAAAATATGTGTTTGCACACTAAGGCATTCGATTGACTCCTGCCGAAAGGAGCTGTGAGAATGATAAAGGAATGACTTTTAAAATGATTTTTCAAAGCTTCTAATATTGACAATGTCGCGAGTTGTTAAGTCGCACCTCTGTCTGGCATTGGACCAATGATTTTGTTCAACGTAGCATTATCTTTTGGCGGGTTTTATATAGTGTGACTTTGAGTAACGTAACTGTTCGAACACCTGTGTAAAAGTTGACGTTACAAATATTTTTCTCATAGTTTATTAACTGTTAAAAATATGTATGTTTTTAACAGTGGTTATGCTTTAACGCGTCTGTCTTACATTCAAAAGCTATATTGAGTTTTTCAAAGGTTTTCTGATAACAATAGGCAAATGCTACGTCAGAAACATCATCTCAGTTACCTACCACCATTCCTTCTATCCCATCTCCTCAGACCCCCTATATATATTCCCTCCAGTGTGGCGGAAGAGGCCTGGAAAGCATCTAGCGGCTCGCTACTAACTGGGAGAATTAGATACTCTTTTATCTATTCCAAGTCGGTACATTTTCCTGCTCCGGCTTCATCATCTTGTCTTTTGGTTTACCTACAGTTCTTCTTCCTAAAAGACCAAATTTATTTTTGGTTAGTCTATAGTTATTCTTCCCCCACGAAATTCTTTCTAGTGACTTTTCCTGTCACATTTCTCCTTATTTTAATTTAAACATATTTGTATATACATTTTTTCTCCTCAGTTAGGTATGTAGCCAGGGATAGCTAGGGAATATAAATAAGTTCCTATATATATTTTTTTTGTATTTATTTTTTTTTATTTTTAGATCACGAATTATTTGCTGAAATTCTTACTCAACAACCTTTAAAATCGAGAGGATTTAAAATTAAAGCACAACTTACAGATGAAGATTTGCGACAAATGACGGAGTTTGCCAAAGAGAAATTTGACAGCATTATGATTTGTTTGAAAGAAATGCCGAGGTCGCTACTTTTAGTGTTGAGGTAATTTTGAAGACGCTTATCTAATTTATCATTTATCTATAGAGAGAAAATAATAATTTTCGGTTATTTAACTACTTTTACGTATAGCTTTTATTAATTAAAAATTAAAAATAGAGAAACTGTCCTAAAAAAAATTTTTGCGACGGTTGTATGTATATTCATATTTGGAATTTGTTGTTACTAGACGTACAAACGAGCCCAGAATCATATCGTTTGTCCCATTCAATATTATATTTTTTATTTTACTTTAGACAACATTGGTAAATACAAAAGAAAAATCTATTAAATACAACTATTTTTATTATAATTTGAGAAACATGTTTATCAACATTTTTTATTAAAATTAATATTAGAAAATTAGAGATATGCACAGAACACTAAATTAAATAAAATAACAATAAATCATTTCGTTTAGCCCAATAATCATGGAAGGACACTGGTGATTTTTCCACTGTGTAACATCTCCCTTTTGTTTCAGAACTGCTTTAATTCGCTTTGGCATGGTATCTACTAACTTTTCTAATCTGCATCAGTGAAAGTGTTCCAAATTTGGGAATCTCTCTTTTTCATTTCAGGAACTGTTCTAGCAGGAGCTCGTAATTTTTTTTTCCTTTTATGCCAAAGTGTTTCAATTGGCGACAGATCCGGACTACTAAATATCCAATCTAATATCGGAATATTATTTTGCAACATCCATTTCTTTACGATTTTAGTAGTATGGCAGCGGCGCCATCCTGTTGGAATATATACTCATTATTTTTTGTTTTTAAGCTGTCAATGAATGGCATTAGACTGACTCTGAGGATGTCAATGTATCTAACAGCATTAATAGTCCCTTTTATGAATTGCAACTTCCCAACCCCTTGAGTCGACATGCATCCACAAATCATTTTAGAAGCTGGAAACTTGAGTTTTCGACGCAAACAGTATGGATGATAAGGTTCATTTTTTGTCCTCAATACCCTACTTCGGTAATCTCCAACACATACCTCAAATCGTGATTCGTCACTCCAAATAACATTACCCCATTGCATCTATGACCACTTTTTATGATTTTTAACCCACGCTAATTTATTCTTTTTCTGCCTCACAGTTAACAGCGGTGTTTCTTTAGCCTGCGAAAAAAAATTCTTCACTATTGTTTCTCGATGACATACATTTTCGAAAATAACTTACTTTGAAGGAATTATAGCCCAATCGTTTGATAGCTCTAAGACAGGTCGAACTTGAAAAATTATTTCCTGTTGTTCTATTCCACGCTACACTTAATTCACCACAATTGACGCGGCGATTTTGTTTCAAAATATGACGTAGTACTCTCATATTGATTTGGGTTATTTTTTAAGTTCTACCCATATTTGGTTTTTCTTGAATTGCTCCTGTCGATTTATATAATTTGACTATATTTCGTACAGTATATTGTGAGGGCCCACCCCCGGTCCCCCTTCTTTTGATTTGTTCTTATTTGTTATTTTACTCTGAAATGTTATTATTTACCTCACAAGTTTTACTTTACTTTAAATTCTTTACTTACTCTAATTGGCCTTTTTTCTCTAGTAGTAGAAGTGATCGTTTAGTTAATTAATTGATATTTTATGTACCCACGTTGTGATAATGTTAATTAAGGTAAACCAGGATTCGATGCAATTCATATTTAAACTCTTTTTATTTTTCATACTTTAAATGTGGTGCAATAATTAGCAAAGTATATTATAATTGTTACTATTTACTGAGATCTCACTTGAGTCCTGTTCAAACGCAGACCATATTCATTTGCTATCAATATATATTTTATTTAGATTGATGACCAACGGAGTTAACGAACAGCGTCAATTCGCCAGTTGATTAACTACTGTGTTTTTGTTGTTATATTCTTTTTTTAAGTTGATGACCAACGAAGTTAACGAACAGCGCCAATTCGCCAGTTGGTTAACTATTGAGTTGATGTTGATTTGATTCTATTCTAGATATATACAGGTTGCACCCTCTTAGGCAAATATTTCAATGAGTATAGAGGTGATGACCAACGGAAGTAACGAACAGCGCCAATTCGCCAGTTAATTACCTTACTATGTTGATTTCACATATACTTTGTTTCAAACCTAGTAGAACGGCTTGCTTAGCGTATAGGTGTCCCCCTTGAGCTAACGAACAGCGTATTCGCCAGTTGGTAAACTTTACCATCTTAGTTTGTACAATTTATCCAAGATAGCACATTCCTGTATATTTCCAAAATATTGATTTTTATCATTTCTATTGAAATGACTTATTATAACTCTGTATATTTCTTAACATTGAATTTTATAATTTCTATTTAAATTACTAAATACAACCCTGTAATTTCTTAATATTGATTTTTATTATTTCTATTGAAATACTCAAAATGCACCCATCTAAAACAGATGTTATCCTAAGTGTCTTTCGGGGTGTATGACCTGAAGGCCATGTGGTTTATTGTTTACATTGATAATATTTTAAGCAAAATGTCAGGCTCTGCATTTAAACGAGACCCCGGTGGCATCTTAAGAGCTATTGCACTGCTCACAAATGCAATCAAAATGTGTGAATTTCGAGTATTTTGTTTTTCATTCTAGACGGCACAATAATGAATATATTTTATTATTTTTTTTTTGCAAAAAGATAAAGGCTTGGACTATCATCCTACAGACGCTTTTGATTAAAATATAAACGGTTCAACCAGAAAAAAATCTATAAGTTCAATAAAATTGTTAAAAAGAACCTAACTTTACCAGACAAATTATTATAATAAAAATACATTGTTTTTCAAATACAACGATGTAAATGTAGTTTCATCTTTTCTCAAGAGAATAAAAAAATAATAATTAAAATTAGATTCGAAATAAAGATGTAATCATATAAATACGGAAAGTTGTTATTCCCAGAAATACCTATGAAACTGAATATTTTGACTCCCTTCTCTCCACGATTGCATTTTCATCGACGCATCGCTCGGCGTGACTCGTTCTCAATCGACTAGTGCAAAGCACTGTCCGAGGCTTGTTACTATCACAATAGAAATGTGTGAATTTCGAGCAATTCTTTTAATTCTAGAAGTCACAAAAATAAATATATTTTATTAACTTTTTTTTTAAAAAACGATGGAACCATCATGTAAACGTTTTTAATAAAAAGCTAAAGGGTACTTCATAAATGTTTATTTAAAAAAACTGAAGAAATCTTTATCAAATTTTAATAAGAAATAAATCTATCAAGGGCTTGTCCAAACTTAAAATACTTTTGGAAATGATATAAGGAAGAAAAAGAGTTACACCACATTTTAAACCGACGTTAATAAATTAAAAACAAACTAGTTTTGTTTTATTTTTGAATCCTTTTTGTTTTTGATTGCTTCTAAAATATAAGCTGGTTCCTTTAATAGACCAGGGTCGATAATTTTTGAAACCAAAAAAAATTACAGTAGGATGAAACCCATTAGAAAAGCAGGGGAATATGATCAAAATGAAAGGAAAAATAAATTACGGTCAATCCGAGTTCGGGAAGTGGGAGGGGGTGAGTTTTTAAGGGTGAAAAATTGTTTATCTTGATTTCCGGCAAAACTACAAGTCCTATGGAAAAAAGTTAAATGGCAAAGTTGTAGGTCATAAAAAGATCTACAACTTTTGTATTTGCAATTTTTTCACATAACCTCAAAATTTAGGTGAAAAATTCAAAAAACCAAGTTTTTGGTTTTTTATTTATATCTTTTTAAAAAAAAAATTTTTTTCTACGAAATTTGATGAAAACTTACCTTATTATGTCCCAAATATACTGTAATTTATTTGATTAAAAATATTTATTTTTTCGCCTCATTTTAACATAATATCAAAAAAGCACCCTAATTTTCAATCGAAAATTCTGACGTCAAAATTTCAGCTTTTTTCAAAAAGTTTGGGGGCTTTTTGTTCGTTAAAATATCTACTTTCTGATGGTGTTAAAAAAATATACATTACTATAGGAAATATTATTAGAAAATGCAAAAAATTGAAAAAACCTCAAATTCGAAATTTTTTTTAATTACTATGTACAATTTCATCAAAAAAATGTGATTGCTGCAATTTTTTTTAGTTAAAAAGTTTATTTATTTTACTCGAATTACATTCATGTCATAGGAAATCTCATACAAAATAAATATACATGTAAATCGTACTATTGAATTTAGAAACTTAATTCTGATTACGTTATTCGTTAAATTTTTTTTTAAAAAACGTTAATCTTGTTATTTATAAATACCTTATCTGAAATTCTAATCAGTTATTCATTAGTTTTTGTCTCTTTGGAGGCATTTCTTCATCGTCAGATTCGACAAATCTTTCCAACTCTAGTTGATCGTCGAAATCTTCAAGACCATCATCTTCGTCTCCAATGTTATTTCCAGTCTGCATTGGTTCTTCATCCACAATTTCATCTGAATCATTTACTTCCTCGTAGATTTTTTCTTCCATATTGGAGCAATTTTCAGAACCATGACAATTAGTGCATAAATTTGTGCATTTTAAACCATGTTTTCGGCAGCCACATTTTAAACTGTTACATCCAGTTTCACAGCTGCAGCAAATAGTTTTGAGCAATACTTCCGGAATTAAATCCTTTTCTGTAAATTTGGGCATAATGCCACGCTGATGTTGCTTCCAGCCCCAATCTGTTGCTGTCAATTCGTTACCCAACCAAGTTTGAAGCTGATAATATGCTCTGTAACAATGTTGTTCTGCTGCTCCTTCTGTGGGTGGGAGGTTTGCCAAAATGAAGGATGATTTAATTTTTGCCAATTGATATTTTTGAAACCTTAATTGATTCAGTGTTAATTTTTCTTTTTTACATTTATAAATAGATTTAATTAATTGTAATCCATTTTTTTTTATATTTTCTTTACTTTCATCTTTTTTGTAAAAAACATTGGCCAAATTTGACAAATTTTTCGCGTCTAATATAGAATTAACGATACTTTTCTTTCCTTTTCCGGCAAATCCAGACCCTCCTAGGTCCGTCCCCACTTCTCATTGAAATAACTTACAATGGGCTAAAATTCACCGAAGGTCACTCAGGTATATAAATTATCTTAAAACAGCAATAAATAGGCATCTACAAATATTATTTAAAGAAGATTCTACAACTTTTTCAAAATATTGTAGATGTCTTATTAAATATTAACTTTATTAACTTATTTCTTTGTTAATTATAGAAGTATATTTTAATTTGCAATTTTTTCGTTTATCAACAAAACATGAAATCTTACGTTTTTTGAGTAATTAAAGTGTAAATTTTAATAAATACCTCAAAATTGTACATAGTGATTAAAAAAAAAATTTTCGAATTTGAGGTTTTTTCAATTTTTTGCATTTTCTAATAATATTTCCTATAGTAATGTATATTTTTTTTTACACCATCAGAAAGTAGATATTTCAACGAACAAAAAGCCCCCAAACTTTTTGAAAAAAGCTGAAATTTTGACGTCAGAATTTTCGATTGAAAATTAGGGTGCTTTTTTGATATTATGTTAAAATGAGGCGAAAAAATAAATATTTTTAATCAAATAAATTACAGTATATTTGGGACATAATAAGGTAAGTTTTCACCAAATTTCGTAGAAAAAAAAAATTTTTTTGAAAAAGATATAAATAAAAAACCAAAAACTTGGTTTTTTGAATTTTTCACCTAAATTTTGAGGATATGTGAAAAAATTGCAAATACAAAAGTTGTAGATCTTTTTATGACCTACAACTTTGTCATTTAACTTTTTTCCATAGGACTTGTAGTTTTGCCGGAAATCAAGATAAACAATTTTTCACCCTTAAAAACTCACCCCCTCCCACTTCCCGAACTCGGATCGACCGTAATTTATTTTTCCTTTCATTTTGATCATATTCCCCTGCTTTTCTAATGGGTTTCATCCTACTGTAATTTTTTTTCATTTTTTACCCATTTTTGAAGGCTTCGGCCCTGGTCTATAATGGCAACCCTCTTACGTGTCTTGGATCTACCAATTCATAAAAAAACTTTTTCATTTTAGTTTCATTTTGTTTTGCCAGAAATCATTTCTCTGTAGTATGTACTCTACTTTGAGTGGATATTTATGATCTGTCCAAACACCAAAGATACATCCTTTCCGACCAGTAATATGTAACTGGCCTTGTATTTGGTAATACCATTGGTGTTCTGTATTTACTACATGTTCCCCAGTTTTTTTATCAGTAATCCAGAACGGAATTTTCTTTTTTTCTATTGCGTCGTCCATTTCCATTTTATACGCTGCATATGGACATTTTACCTCAACCACAAGATCATCGCCAACGATTCCATCTGGTGTTGCACCTAAAAAATTATAATTTTTTATATATTTTTTTTTTTAATATTTTTAATGTATACAAATATTTTATGATATTTTTTATTTTTAATATAAAATAAACGGTACCAGAGTCGGCATATTTTTAAATAAGAAAAATATTACATATTATTTACCAACCTAAATATGGATATTCTCGGTCGATAAAAATTCCACATTCTTTAATTAAAATGTTTTCTTGTTTTTGTAGTTGGAGTAATGCCACTTTCTCATATTTTTTTTCCATGAGAAATGGAAGCTGCTTTTGGATATGACTCATAAACTTTTCTTTTTACTAATGGTCCACTCAAAGTAGTGCTTTTTCTAGTACATACTGCCTTAAAATGTGACGCTGTAATCATTTTCCAAAGTACTTCAAGCCATAAGCTACTATTTGCCTGGGAAAGAATTTTTTCTTGAATTGAACTTTTTTCAGAATCAGATGATGGTAATCCTTTTAGAAAATCTTTTTTCTTTGCCTCAAAAATATTTTCATCCAAATCTGGTTTGCTGCAGTTTTCGCCATAGTCGAAATCGGTATTGGTCGCTCGAACCCTTTTTTGTAAATTTTCCTAAAAATTATTAAATAAATCTATTTAATCATTTATATAATGCAGGCAATGTAAATACAACGTAACATGTTTTCTTCACCTTTTCCAAAATTGTATTTGATGTTGTAGAAAATTCATCACGATCTTAAAGGAAAGAAAAAAGAAACACTTAGTAATTTACCAAAAATTCATGATCCAAATTACTCAAGAATTGAAAATAATTATTTCGGACTCAAATTTAGTCTTTTAAATATTTTAAAAATCAATTCTCATTAATACGAAAGTAATAGGAACTTCGGAAAAATATTTTATATGTACTTAATTTAGTTTCTTACCTAAAGTACCATCTAAAATAGACCGAACAAAAGTTTTTACTTTAGCCGTATTTAAATTAAGGCCCGTCGTTTAAAAATTCTTTCTCTTAACATAAGAATCCTTTCTTCTTCCCATGCTTTTAATATCTCCACAATATTTAAAATACAAATTTTTAATAGCACTAACACAATACACCGCGTATCGAATCTTTCAAATTATACTGAGTCCATCCCAAAACAATATTTGTCTATCCGTGTCCTATGCGGTAGTTGCGGATGCAATTGAATGAATGTCTCTAACAAGGGTTTCTATCTTTTGAGGTGGAAGTATTGGAGGAGATACCTACTGAAAATTTCCCCTGAAACGAAATTCAAGTGTCCAGAGCAATAACTCTTAGAGAGACAGTTACATAAACCCTTTTGACTCACCATTGAAATTACAGACATTTGGGTCGTCTAAACTAGACATTATGTACGTCGCAGCATTAAACGTCGCCTTGCGTCGAGACGTCAAGCGTCGTGGCGGGGAGGAAGGTATTTATTTCGTGACTGTGTCGGGACAGATATATGGTAGGAAATAATTAGGTGGTGCGGGACATGACGAAGGGTGTCGATAAGGATATTATGAAGGAAATATTTAGGGCGGCAGGCGTCGAGAAGTCAAGCGATGGGATGTTGGGCGTCGGAATGAATGTATGGTAGGAAATACTTAGATGGTGCGGAATGTGACAGCGTTCGATACGTAGGAAGTAGGAAAGTAGGGCATCTGGACGTCGAGCGTCGAGACGTTGGGCTTCGGGATGAATATAATGGTAGGAAATACTAAGTGGTGTTAGAAGTGATATCGTTGGGACGTCGAAAGGTAGGGAAGTAGGACGGGGAGAGACGTTGACACCTTTGGGAAATAGGAGGTATTGTGTGATAGACGTCGTTTAGGAAGAGCGTTTAGGAAAGGTACAGACTATATAACTGGGTACAGACAATAAAGTGATTGCTTGAATGTCAAATAATAAAATGTATGCTTGTACATCAAATGATAAAAATTGAATGAATCTGAGCTCCTTTTGGTCAGACTTTTTATACACAGTTTAATAGCTTTTGTGACGTCTCTATCGTTTTAGTTCTCATGGAAAATACGAATGTGGGCGCAAAAGGAGGTGGGTTATTTATTACTTGTCTTGAAAGCTTTGTGTATTGAAATATTGTCGAAATCGGTCTTAACATCGAAACTAGAAATATAAGCGAGTTAAGTGTTTTAATGATAATTACTTCGTGAAAAGAAATATGTTTTATGGTGTTTTCTTTCTCTAGGAACTCAGCCACGTGCACGAAATTTGGATCTTTTATGAACGTGGTTATAGCTATTATTTATTAGGTGTCGTAAATAAGATTTAATTATCTGAGAGATTTTTCATTAAATGTAGGATTTTGAATTTAATAAGAATGCAATATTATATTTAATAAATGGAATTAATAAATTATTAAGGTACCTGGGTGCGGTAGGTTACAATATCGTGATAATTGCAGTTGTTTAGCAATTTTAGCACTATAATTACCAGCATTGTATAAATTGACAATAACTTGACACATCTTTACCACTCACCATTTTGTTAACAATAAATACTTACAACTAACTGCTGAAGTATCACTGTCAGCAATCAACAATTGACAAATGCTTTGTTTTAATTCATAGCTAATATAATTATAAAAATAGCTATTTTTAATACATGGGCCAAACGAAATGATTCATTGGTATCTTATTTAATTATTTATTCTGGGCATATCTCTAATTTTCTAATATTAATTTTAATAAAAAATGTTAATAAACATGTTTCTCAAATTATAATAAAAATAGTTGGATTAAATAGATTTTTCTTTTATAAGTTAACAATGTTGTCTAAAATAAAATTAAAAATATAATATTGAATGGGCCAAATGATATGATTCTGGGCTCGTACTTTATTTGTCGTTGTTTTATTTTAGAAATTTGAATACAATTAGAGCAATAGCACAGCATCATGGAAATCCTATTGATAGGTACAGCATTTTGGCAAGAACGGCTACAAAATCAATTTACAACATGGAAACAAATTTAGCTAAAAGATTACTGAATTTTCCGAAGAAAATCTACTTTGAATTTATTTTACAGTGAGTATCATTTACTTTCTATATTACATGCTAGGTTTTAACGCTCTTTTGATTTATGTTATCTCTTGTAATTTGTTTTATCGTTGTTTATTAGTATTCTCAGACTATTTGTCATTGATTTTTCTATATTTTCAGTTTACATTTCGACATTTATTATCTACTATTTTTAAACGACTTCAAAAAAGGAGGAGGTTCTCAATTCGTCAGTATATTTTTTTTATGAAAATCCTCACTCTTCATTTTTCATGTATGTTCAGCGATAATTCTTTAATACGGTGTCCGATTTCAATGATTCTTTTTTTGTTAGAAAGGAGGTTCCTCAGGGGTGGTCCCATATAAATTTGGTCAAAATCTAATAATTGGGTTCATGAGAAAATCCTCACTCTTCATTTTTTATGTATGTTTAGCGATAATTCTTTACCACCTTCTTCGATTTCTATGATTCTTTTTTTGTTAGTAAGGGGTACCTCGGGGGTGGTCCTATATAAATTTGGTCAAAATCTAATAATTGGGTTCATGAGAAAATCCTCAAGCTCTTCATTTTTTATGTATGTTTAGCGATAATTCTTTACCACCTTCTCCGATTTCTATTATTCTTTTTTTGTTAGTAAGGGGGGTACGTCAGTGGTGATTCCATATAAATTTTGATAAGATGTGGTGATGGCATCTGCACGATTTTGAAGTCGGTTTTTTAAAATTACTTTTAATACTTATTGATGTCTTTTGTGAATGTTTTTCAACAGAGTCCGTCTTTATTCTAGTTTCCTTTGTGTAATATTTAACTTTCGTCTATTGTACTACATTTTAAAAAAAAAATTAGCCTTTCTGATTTACTAGTCTATGTTTTACATCCATAAAGCGCCATGCTTAAGGCAAAAATGCTTTTGGAATTCTTAATAATTTCTATTGACAGTGTAGTGGATATAAATAATTTTTTTTTTGTTGGGTCCTACTTAGCACTTTAGTCATTTGGGTTTCTAAATAGGAGGTGGTGACAGTACCTTGCTTGATGAGCATTTTGGTAGTTTTTTAAATTCTAGTTGTTTTTTCGATGTTTATCGGTGCATTTTTTTTCTCTCATATTTATCCATTTATCATTGCCAAATACCTTCATTTAAATCAATAGTTAATCTTTTGCTAACATTTTCTTGGATGCCGAATTGGTCTTCAGTTATATATATTGTTTTATTATTTTTATACTTCTTTTTTAAAAAATAACATTTTTAAATAATTTAAAAAAATATTCAAAACTAAGAAAAATTGAATATGACCATTTGAGAGAATGGAGTCCCTTCTTCGATTAAATATATGAAATTATTTATTATTCCTTTAGGATTCAACGACTCGGAAGGTGGTTCACCAAGACGACTTTAAGGATCTTACATCGCTTGGGTCTGGCTCCGGATGTCGAAGCTTTCGTAAAAAATCTAAGGCCTGTTCATTTTTAACCTAATTTACTATACTGCGAATTTTCTGGTAAACCAGTCAAATGGAAACCATAATCATTATACACCACCCATAACCCACAATTATTGTGATGTTTCGTACAATTTACTTGCTTTTACCATGGGAGCGATCATTTAAAGTGATCAATCAAGTTGAAAGATATAAATAAAATAACTATATTTAACAAAATAATCTGAGGTATTTTGTTACCATTATTTGTTGATAAGTAAAAATAAATTTTATTTTAATTGTTGATTGTTTTTTTTTTCGACATATGTTTATGTAAATAAGATCTAAAAAGCTCGCGGTGGACAAATAACGTCCAACTCCTTTCAAATCTATGTGTAATGAATTATTGATAAATATATTAGGAGCAACACAGCATCTTATCACCATTGAATAAAAAAAAAGTATTATTGCACCAAGAAACTAAGCATTTACTGTTTAATAAAGTATTTTCCTCAAAACTATTTTCTTTAAATGTTACCGGTTTCTGCTAACGAAAATCAGTTGAAAGTGTTCAGTGGATACAAACCATTGACGCCAAGTTGTATTAAACTTTCGATATATAATGTCTGCATTTTTTTGTATAAATAGAAATAGGTATGATTGACAGAATATTTTAAAAATAATGCAATTATTTCAAAAATAAGGGTACATAGTTCCAAAAACGAACACCTACAGTTTGTTTTTGTACATAAGTAATTTATTATTTTTTTTTTTTTGAAAACGTAAGTTTTGTAAAGACTGACTTTGTTACGGTATGTTTCGTTTCGTATGTTATTTTCAAAACATACGATCTACAAAAATTCGATAAAGTATTCAGTGGGATACAAGCAAACCACTCGAATTGTATAGTATATTTCAATGAATCTCTAAAGAAAATCTACAACGACTTAAAAAGTAATGTATAGGTCATTAACACAAATTGCTATTTTAAAAATAATTAACACAAAGATTTGAATTTCTGGATTGTACCAATTTTAAAAATAAACTTGAAAAAAAAAAACGAATTTGTTTAGATTCAACCCGAATTTGAACCTCGGACCTTTCTTATGAAAACTCATCCCTTAAACTTTGGCATTTATTTCTCTTTAACATTTACACTTAAATAATTGGTTTAGGTCAATTATTCTGCGCTGTTGTCCTACAAGATTATCACACCCTGTAGTTTGCATGATTCATGCAGACCAGCACAAATACCAAGATAAAAACGGCAAAAAAAAAACCTTATCGCTCTTGCCTCGATATTAACTTACTCATTGCATTCATTTGTGCCGGCAGTAAACGTAAAAATTTTTAATTTAAAGTTGAAAATGCCAAAAATTAATTTAAAAAGAAGGCGAATTATAGTGAAAATGGAAATGTAAATAAACAGGAAGAACGAAGGAAGAACAATAGATATGCAGAAATTTTAACAACGCTTCGCTGTATACAGGATGAACTTAAATTTAATGATAATTTGGAATTGTCCGAAAAAGGTAAGTTATTTTCATTAAATGTGATTGACTATTGTCTCACATACAACGCTACAGTAATGGACGATTGTCTTTCTTTGTAGTTATACAAGAATGTAATAGACGTTTGTCTTACATTACAAAAAATCTGATATGTCCAACACATGACTTTCCTATCTAGTTATTACAGGCTTTTTCCGGTTATTTTGTACAACCTATTGTAGCACCTCTATAAATGTTTAGAGGATAAACTGAATATATACATTTTCCACATACATCTAACTAGAAACATTTTTCTATAGATATTCATTGAAAACGAAAATACTGAAAAATTTAAATTTAGCACTTTTACTCCAATTTTCTTAAATTTTCTTAAAAATCAGAATTTTGTACATTTTGTCAAATTTCTCGAATACGGACCATTTCAGGAAAATTTAACATAAAGCAAAAATTATAGATAGAAATAATATTAGAAGTAACTTTTATTTGAACAATTTTCTTCTCCGAACATAAATAACAGATATATTCCATAAAATATAAAAACGGCCTCCCATAAAGTCCCCCCAGATGTTCGGACTTTGCCCAAAATCTAATCAGTTCATTGGACGTCAGAATAAAGCTTAAGTTTAAAATTTGGTGTTTTTATTTGTATCGGTTCATGAGTTAAGGTGGATACAGACACACGCACACGCGCGCGCACACACACACAGACACACACACTCACACGCGCGCACGCACACACACACGCACGATATCATCCCGAAAATAGTCAAAACGGATTCAGGGAACCCCAAAACGTAAAAATCAAAAACTGGAGGTCGAAAAAAATCATGATTCCTATACTTTCCTTATCTGTATACAGATAGGAAAGTAAAAATTAATAAATAAATAAAAATCAAAATTATGTAATGGACGATTGTCTTACATTGATTTAAAAATATAGGTTATTTCTATCTGGATATTTTTTCTTCCAGACACTACAACTATCAATCAGTCCAACAAGACAGACAGTACCCTTAAAATTAAGGAATTGTTAGGTGAAAATCCTCAAGAAACCAAAAAAATATGGAGATAGTTTACATGAAGAAATAACCACGAGATGTTTTAGAAGGAGTACTCACAGAAATATTGGAAAATTTAAACAAAAAATATATATGTTGCCAGAAAATTTCCAATTTTTATCAGCTCCTAAGTTTAATGAAGAAATTGATATTTGTATACCACGGGAGGCCAAAAAACAGGATGTTTTCGTGTCTTAACTACAGACCCAGTTACAGGGCCGCCAAGAGCCAGGCCGGGCCCCAGGACAATTCTCTAGATCGGGCCCCGTGACAAAAAAAGCTCTTCAAACAAAAACTTTTCCTCTTCTACTTGAATTGAATAAAGGTCCTCAAGCAAAAACTTTTCCTCCTCTACTTGAAAACTTTCCCTCTTGCCTTCTGTCGGATTTCTCATACAAAACAAAAAAAATCCAGTTGCCGGGCCCCCCTTATACCGCTGCCGGGCCCCCATTTCAGTCCGGGCCCCGAGAATTAGTCCCGGCTACCCCCCCCCCTCTAGTCGGTCCTGCCCAGTTATCTCAGGGCTTGACGGCGATTGGTTTGTTGATTTCAAATTTTTTAAATGATCCCGAATCTATCGACTAAGATAAAATATTAACGGTTTTGGCTGATAGCGGTCAACTGCTAACAAATTTGCAGCATAGTTTGTCTAACCATAGACGTTTTTTGATAAAGCCTTTCTTAAAAGAAGATAAACGGAAAATAGTTAACGAATGTCCTATAGATAATTACCTCTTTGGTTCTAAGCTTAACGACTCCATACAGACTAATAAGTCCGTGGCAAAGACTGTTAGGGAACTAAGAATCTAACCCTTTTAAAAAATTCATAAGAACGGAAAATTCTCGTGAACCTCAACCGGGACCTTCTAGTTGGCCTGGAACTTCAGGTGGACAGGCTTACCATTCCAAGTCTAATTACAGGAACTATTTAAACCCATTTCAGTCCGGGTCCCCATTTCAGTCCGGGCCCCGTGAATTAGTCCCGGCTACCCCCCCCCCCCCTCTAGTCGGCCCTGCCCAGTTATCTCAGGGCTTGACGGCGATTGGTTTGGTAATTTCAAATTTTTTAAATGATCCCGAATCTATCGACTAAGATAAAATATTAACGGTTTTGGCTGATAGCGGTCAACTGCTAACAAATTTGCAGCATAGTTTGTCTAACCATAGACGTTTTTTGATAAAGCCTTTCTTAAAAGAAGATAAACGGAAAATAGTTAACGAATGTCCTATAGATAATTACATCTTTCTTTCTAAGCTTAACGAGTCCATACAGACTAATAAGTCCGTGGCAAAGACTGGTAGGGAACTAAGAATCAGTTCATCTAACCCTTTTAAAAAATTCATAAGAACGGAAAATTCTCGTGAACCTCAACCGGGACCTTCTAGTTGGCCTGGAACTTCAGGTGGACAGGCTTACCGTTCCAAGTCTAATTACAGAAACTATTTAAACTTCAGGCGTCTTCAAAACAACTTCAAGAAAAAGCTCCAACAATTCGAAGAGAAGAAGGAGATTCGTCTATACAGAGGATCTCGAAACTTCCGGAAGTAACAAAGGTAAACAAATTAAGATACGCTGGTTTTTTAAAAGAACGCTTAAAGTGTTGGGAGAAAATTACAAACAATAATATGTATGGTTTTACAATGGATTTCAGGCGTTACTATTCCCTTTAATGAAATACCTTGTCAGCTATTTGAACCTAGGGTTTCTATAATCAGAATTTTTAAATTATAAGAAGGTAATAAATGATTTAGTAAAAAAATAGGCGCTGTATCAAAATGTGAACCTATACAAGGTGAATTCAAATCTTCCTATTTTCTAGTTAAAAAACCAAATGGTAACTTTCGCTTTATTTTAGATCTTAAAAAATTAAATGAATTTATATCACCACAGCATTTCAGACTAGAAGATTACAGGACAATTCTAAAATTAGTTAGCAATTCATGTTTTTTCGCTAGTATTGATTTAAAAGAAGCCTGTTTCTCTGTGCCAATTAAAGAACATCATAAGAAGTTTTTGAGATTTAGATTCAATAAACAGATTTATCCATTTAACTCTTTACCATTTGGCTTAAATATTGCAACTTTTATATTCACGAAAATAGACCAATTTGAGAATTTTTGAGATCACAAAATATGTTCAGCTTATTTAGATGACTTCATAATAATAGGAAATTCCAGGGGGGAGTGTAAAAGAAATGTAAATGTTGCCTAGAATTTACTCATAAATTTAGGTTTTATCATAAACACCAAAAAAAGCGAATTATTACCCAAACAAAGGATTTTACATCTAGGTTTTGACATTAATAGCGTTAATATGTCAATATGCCTACCCGATACAAAGAAAATTTCTATCTTAAAAAATATAAATTCGATAAAAAATAAAAATAGATGTTGCATAAGAGAATTTGCAAAGGTAATTGGTTCTTTGGTAGCCACACATCCAACTGTTAAGTATGGGTGGTTACATTTAAAAAATTTTGAGAGAGGAAGTACATACAATAAATAAGGGCAATTACAGTACATACATGAACATTCCGGAATATTTAAAAGATGACAGATTGGTGGCTACAGAGTATCCCAAGAGCTCAACAAATATTAGAAAACAAATTTTTTTCTTAGAAATATATTCAGACGCGTCAAAAACAGGGTGGGGAGCCAACCAAACTAATTTTGGAATAAAAAAGAAAGTAATTTTCGCTTAAATTATCTGGAATTAATGGCTGCATTCAATG